GATGGTTTCAATGCTGATACATTTGAGGTCACACCATCTCACCCCAAACCTTCCCCCTACATTCTGCCATAACCTAGTGGTCATCCCAAAGGGTGCTTGGCAGCCTCAATCATCAGGCTCACATTCAAATGGGAACTGCAATGTATACTCACTACATTTTGCTTAAAACTACAATGCCCAAGAGGGATGAAATTCCCAAATGACGATTATTACGCAGCAAGAAATAAGTTTAGTCCTCGTGGTTTCTGGGTCAGGTCAGTCATGCACGGGCCTTGAGGCCAAAGGCTACCAGAGAGAGGAGATGATGCATGATGTCTAACACAAACCATGCATATCACACAGAACAAACCAAAGTGAATTCTTCATTGTAAAGAGAGTTAATAGGAATAGTAATCATCAATTTCATCAGCCAACCAACCATCATTTATTAAGCAGCTATTATGTGATGGGTAGCGTTAACACAGGGAGTCAGGTTCAAAGGGCGCAAGACCCGAGTTTAAGTCCCCTGCTGACATTCACTGGTCCTGTGACACTGGCTGAGCCATTTACCTCTGGTGCTCTGGACAGCTCCAGAAATTCATAGAGGACATTTGCTCACCCTGGAGTTCCCAGCGCTGCTAAATTCACAGCTCTAGTCTCTAAACCTATTTCTATGTACCAGGCACTGTGCTAGGCACTAACTAGCCAAAGACAAAAAAATGAAACCGCCATTTTACTAATACCTAATCCCATCGTTTTCATAGTGATACCTAAGATAACCTGAAGTCTTATCTTTAAAGTGGTTAGTGGCAGAAGAGAGTGCCATCTACATGTATTGGTTGAGATTGAATGCTGATAATTAACCTCAGGAACTCGGAGCATGAATTCCAAAGCTCACAATAATAGGACGACACAGCTTAATGAAACAAGGGACGGGAGCAATTACAAAGTATGAAATGTTGATTACACAATATCAAAAGGCTTTGCATGAACAGAATTCATGCAATTAGGATAAGAAGGGAAGCAAGTCAACTGGGGAAAAAAACCCTTTGTATCATATATCTCTGATAAGGGTCTTCTATCCGAGATATAGAGACAATTAACAAAAGTATAGAAGTATAAAAGACTAAATGCCATTCCCCAAGAGATAAGTGGGCAAAGGTTATGTATAACTTGTAAAATAATTGAAAACTATTCACAGACACGTGAAAGAAAGCTCCAAATCACTAATAATAAGAGAAATGCACATACAAACAATCCTAAGGTGTCAACTCACATTCAGCAAATTGACAAAGGTGACAAAAGATGAAAGGAGTTAATGCTGGAGGAGTCGGAGAAAGAAAGGGGCACAAAGTATTTTGAGCGGAGATGGGAATTAGCGCAACAATTCTGGAAGCAATCTGTAATAACGCCAAAAAAATGACTAACAGGTATGTGCTCATTAGGCAAATGCCCCTAGAAGATCAATGGAAAAAAGAAAGCTCCCACATTGACCAAAATGTTTATAGCCATTACTTTTTATGGCAGCAAAGAGTTGGAAACGAGCTGGATGCTCATTTATCTGGACAAACAAATTACGGTACGTGAATGCAATGGAACATTACTGTAAGAAATGGTGTTCATAATGAATACAGAGAAGCCTGGGAAGAGCTTTATGAACGATGCAGAATAAAGAAAACAGAATCAGGAAAACAATTACTACAATAATTACAACAACACAAATGCAAAAAAAGAAAATGAAACAATTAACTCCTTTTTGGGGCAATGGGGTTAAATGACTTGCCCAGGGTCACACAGCTAGTAAGTGTAGTGTATCTGAGGCCGGATTTGAACTCAGGTCCTTCTGAATCCAGGGCCGGTGCTCTATCCACTGTGCCACCTAGCTGCCCCCAACAATTAACTCTTCAGAATGATAATGAATAAATTTGGCTCCAAGAAGGCATTTAAGACACTGCTCAGAGATGAGGAATTAGGAGTATGAAACATTGCATTTAATTATATTTTTCAATATGTTTTGTTTTTTCTTTATTATGAGAGACGGCTCTCTGAGAAAACCTCCCTCATTTTACAGAGGAGGAAAGTGGGGCCCAGACAGGGCCTATACCCACACAGCTAGTAAACTGCTGAGCTATTAAAATAGTTACAAAATCTCTTAGACAAAAGCTAAATATTCTGTGATTCATTTCCCAAAGTGGGCAGATGGTTATCTGAGAGTGGAAACCAGTTAGCAGGATGTAGCTTTATGGTCTCAATTATCTTTATTGGGAGATTGTCTTGTTTAAGGTCCAGAAATTAAAGGGAGAAAGTAGGGCCTATAGTAATGTGATACTTTTATGGAAATTCACCACAGATTACTACTCAAGGCCAAGAATACCATCTATTGTAATAGGAATGGAAACGTCCTTCCTTGGGAAAGATTCATGTTGTTATTAAATCATTATTGTTGGAGGCAGTGTGGTATAGTGGAATAGGCCTGGGGTCAAAGGACTTGGGTACTTGGGCAAGTCATTTCAACTCTCATTCGTCATATGAGGGCATTGAACTACTTGTCCTTTAAGGTTGATTCCAGTTCTAGCTACATCTCTTGTTAAAATCTCAGTCATCCCAGGAAGGAGGCTGAGATGTTGGATCCATTCCCCTACTTTGGAGGTATTCTGTTCTAAAGAGCTGGGGGTTTCATCCCTCACATTTTAGATTCTTTGACTATTTTCAGAGAACCAAATACTCAAATGGATACATGATTTCATTAAGTCAAATATTCCCTCCAGTAAGTCACTTGGTTTTCCCTGTTCTTAGCAAGTGGAAATTTCCGTAGGGGAAGCAATTTGGATGTAGCTCTTTACTGACATGTGTTTCTTCCATTAGAAAGTAAGCTCCTTGAGGGAAAAAAGGACTGTCTTTTCCTTCTCTTTGTATCTCCAGCTTTTATCACAGTATTCAATAAATGGTACTCTCTTTTAATAATGCTTGTGGATAGATGGATGGATGGATGGATGGATGGATGGATGGATGGATGGATGGATGGATGGATAGATGGATGGATGGATGGATGGATGGATGGATGGATGGATGGATGGATGGATAGATGGAATTCAGCTCTCAACTGGAATGCCAGTCAGATTTAGAGGCATCCTTAGCCTCCATACCATCTTTCATGGGGAATGTTGAGAGCATAGAGCTGGATTGAAATGAAAGGACAAGGATTCCTGGCTTCAGATCCCAGCTTGCTCACTTCCTCTGAGACCTTAGTCAGGTCAGATCTCTGGCCCCCTGTTATCTCTTCTGAAAAGTAAATGGGTTGGGAGAGATGACCTCTGAGAATCTTCACCAGTTCTAAATCTCCGAACCTCGGACCTTCCATGGGCATTCCAGAAAATTGACATCTTCTACCTCTCAGAAAACAAAGTAGACCCAAAAAATTCCTCTTAGAGTTTTAGTTAACTGTTCAAAGTGAACTATTGCAAAGGCCTGATAATGTTCACCTTGCGTCTAAGAGAGAAGTCGGAAGTGGGGGAAGAGATCTATCACTGTAAAATGCCTGTTATAATTCTGCATCCCACCTGGGAAGGAACTGAAGGCCCAGATGACTCAGTTTATCTGTAACGCTAAACTGACATTTCTATCCTGCTCCAACACTGGAATATCAACAACCACAGGAAGTAGGTACAAAGAAAACAGACTCAGAAGGTAGAAGGAACAAGCATTGATTAAACACCTACTATGTGTCAGGTACCATGCTAAGATCTTTACAAATATTGACTTATCTTATCCTTACAACAACCCTGAGAGGTTATCATCCCCATTTCGCAGTTGAAGAAACTGAGGCAGACAGAGGTTAAGTGACTTGCCCAGGGTCACCCAGCTAGTAAGTGTCTGAGACTGGATTTGAACTCAAGTCTTCCTGACTCCAGGTCCAGGGCTCTGTCCACTGTACCACCTAGGTCTCAGAGAAATAGTAATTTGTCCCAGGCAAAATTAAACATTATCTGTCACTAAAAATATTGTCAGGAATGAAATTTTAGTGAGAGGAAAAATTTTTTTTAAATATTATTTTATCTTTATCTCAGTCTTTTTTAGCTTCATTGTTTATATATACCTTATAAGGTATACAATTATTAGTTCAGTAATAAAGATGTATATGTTGAGGGTATGGGTTCACAAAGTTTTTACTGATACGACTGCACCATCAAAAATGTTTGGAGACCACTGATATCACCAATCATTTTTCTCTGGTGGCATTTCCTCCCTCCCCTTGCCCCCCAATAAAAATGTTGTACCATTTTGTAAAGACCTGAGTTCCAATCCCACTTTATAATTTTTACTAGATTGGTGACCCTGGTCAAATCACTTAACTTCTGTCTCAGTTTCCTCATGTGTGAGATGGGAAAATAATAGCACTTTCTTCCCATGGTTGTTGTGAGGATCAAATGAGCTAATATTTGTAAAGTGCTTTGCCAGCCTTAAAGTCCTATTTAATGTTAGCCATTATTATCAATAAAATATAGATTTTTGTAACAGATTACCTGCCCCCAAATTAAAATACATTAAGAGAAAATCAAATCACAAGTGGAAAGGGACCTTATGATAAGCTAATAATTCCCATGGAGGACAGAGTTTCTCTCCACCTGCATGTCATTCTCTTTAGATAATTTAGAATTAACAATAATTAATTAATAGTTGATAATTCTTAGATAAGTCTGCAAAAAGCAACTAACTCAGGGAATTTTCCAGCTTCATAGCATGAGAGAAGTCAAAAATCAACCAAGTAAAATCAGTCCATTCAACAACTACCTCAAAATGACAAATGAAGGCTGGAGTCATTAATTTGTCATAACTAGTGACTACCTTGTTCATTGCCATGATCAAAGCTCTCTTACGATTGCAGAGGACCCGAGCCCAGCCTCCAGACTGGAGGATGACATGGTATTTCTGAGTTCTCTTCTCTAACGTCTCCATGAGCCATCACGCGCCCTCCCCTATGCTCTGGTCATTTGAAGTCAATGTGCGCCTGGGTCACTTACTCATTTCTCTCCAGGTGTATGATCAGCTCCTTACCATCCACTTCGATTCGAAAACTCAGTCGCACTGGGTGATCCTGGAAAAGGAACACAAGTTTTCCATGAGGAGATGCTCTCCAGCTCCTTTCTGGGCTGGACACCCACCTGCTGCACACTGGACGCTCAGTTTAGTTCTGCCACCTTCCTCCTCTCACGCCCCTAGGACTTCGTAACTGCTAACATTTACACAGCTGGAAAAACATTTTACAAAATTCTCATTTTATCCTCCCAAACAACCTTGAAGGGAGACACTATTATAACCCCCATTTTACAGATAAGAAAAATGAGGCAGGTAGAAGTTAAGGTTATACAACTAGGAAGTGTCTAAGCTTGGATTTGAACTCGGGTCTTGTTAACTCCAGGTACAGTGTTCTATCTATTGTACTACCTAACTGGGAGGAAGTCTGGTGATTATATAATTCCTTCTCCTATTTTACAGACTGAGGAAATTGAGGCCCAGAGTCAGGAAAGAACTTGCCTATCATTCCGCAGGCAGAGGATGGTAGAGTCAGTGGTATCAGGAAGGTGACGGTTGGGGTGGGGGTGAGGGGAGCATGTCCCAGAAGCAGGGAGGAGCCACTCTCTGCTCAGTCCACTAGCACAGGATGAGATTTCCTCACTGCTGTCCCCAGCCCCAGAGCAGTGAGCGGCTTTCCTGCTAGCCTGCCTGTTGAGGGAAGGTGGGGATGTGGAACTCCCTTCCTTCTCTTCTTGGGGCCCGAAACCTCTAAGTCCTCCTCTGGGGTGGCTGGTAAGGAGTGTCTAGCAGGAGACAGAAAGCCCATCTTTCCTGAGAGTCTCTACCGTGAATCTCTCGACTTGCCCTCCCCCAACCCCTGACTCTGGTTTCAGGGTCTCTACTTCTGTTTACCCACTGGTGGAGAGAGCCCTGAACCTGAAGAGTTCTGGGTTCAAAACCTGTCTTGGACACTTTGCTCCCTTGGAGGAGAGGATCTGTGAGGTCGAGGTATCTGTGATAATGACCTCCCCAGGCTATGAGGAGACTCAAAGGAGGCAAGGAATGGGAGGTCTTCTGCAAACCCCCAAAGATGCCTCCTCCTCCTCCTCCTCCTCCTCCTCCTCCTCATCATCATCATCATCATCATCATCATCATCATCAATATTATTATCCCTTTTCATCTTTTTCCAGTAGGATTCATCATCATCTTTGTCATCATCAACCACCAGTTGTGTATGGCACAACCTGAGTTGTGTATGTCCATTTCTCCTGGCTTCTGTTAAGTTCAGAATAAATAGAAATTGTTGAAACTGCCCCAAGAGCTCTCTGCTCTCATTTCCACACAGCTCAGTACAGGACAGAATGCCATGCTTGAAGTCACTGGACGTGGGCTTGAATCTCAGTTACTGGCTGTGTCACTCTGGACCAGTCACTTCTCTCAGAGCCTCAGCTCCATCTGAAATGGAGATACTAATGCTGGCATGGCTTATATAATAATAGGGTCGTGAAGGAAGCTTTCCCAGTGTGGCTTGAACCAGACTAAAATGTTCTTGGGAAATATTTAAGAATAAAATAATGAGAAATAATAAATAAAAGTATATATAAATAAATAATAAAATGAATAAAAATAAAACATTTCAGTCACTTTTCAGTCATGTTTGACTCTTCATGGCCCCATCTGGGGTTTTCTTAGCAGAGATACCAGAGTGCTTTGCCATCTCCTTCTCCAGCTCATTTTACAGATAAGGAAACTGAGGCAACTAGGGTTAAAACAGGATAGATTTGAACTCAGGTCGTCTTGACTCCAGGCCCAATAAAACATAGATAATACTGATTTGTGGTTGCTAAGTCAATATGCAGGCCTGATGGCAAGGATCGCTTTCTTTTGGAGCTGGACATGTCTGATGTAATCCACAAAGCACAGCAGAAATGTGAGCTGTTATTAAAAGGTGAAGCACCAGCTAAAGATGAGTGTTATTATCAGATCATCAATGGATGAAAGGCTGTTTATTTTTAGAACTCTTTTGCATAGGATTTATTATGGTTTTCCTGCAATTTATTTGTGGCAAGATGTAAAGTGATTCTAGAAATAGCAATAACACACAATCCACATTTCCACAATGGATAGATGAATGAATGGATGAATGGAGGAATGAAAATATGCTTATCGAGTACCTACTATGTTCAAGGAAGTGAGCTCTTAGTAGGCTCTTTGTGAGACAATTTCTGCCCTCAAGGAGTTCATTTTCTAATAGGGAAGACAACACATACAAGTCAATTGGGACCAGGGAGGGAGTTTGGGTCTGGGGAACCATAGGAATGAGGAGTACAGTCATGGGGCAGTTAATTGGCCCATCCTTTCCACAGTACGCTGAGTACTATTTATTTGATTACTGAGCATGCAGTGAAAGGAGGGGCTGAAGGAGCATGTGGATATTGGACGGGACATGGGGCAGGCAGGATCCCTGGGGTGGAGAGTTTGAGAGAATGAGAAGTATGTTCTAGGGCTTCCGAGATTTAGTGGCTTAAGGGAGTTTGAACTCCTTTGCCCACTAATCAAAATGACTCATCTTAGGCCCGGAGCTCCACAGCCAAGTAGATTAAAGAGGGGTGGGGTGGGACATGATCTCTAGAGATCCATCTGGTGGGTTCTGTACCAGGCCGAGAGAAGAGGGAAAGTGTTAGGGTAGATGGCAAGATGTTTGGGGAGTGACGGGGTGAGGGGAGGGGAGGAATGGCTGGATGGGATTTAAGGCAGGATACAATGGGCCGAGCAAGCTTGTGCTCAATCACTCACCAACCAGGGGACCGACCCTCCCTAGGACGTAGTTGAAAAGGTGAGTGGATTATCTGCCCAGGGAGGGGAGACTGAAATTTCACAAAACATTTTTCTTTCAATAACTCTGTGAACTAGCCAGAATGAATATAATTATCCCCATTTTATAGACGTGAAAACTGAAGCATAGAGTAAAACACAGTTCTTTTAACCGTGACAAATGTTGTTTTCAAGAGTGCTTCAAGCAAGGGAACAGTCACCTCCATTTGGACTGATGTCTGCTCTGGGGCAGCATCCTTTCCTTCCTGTGAATAACACGAGTTCTAGCTCAGATGGGCATTTTCTCTACTTGTGTGTATTTAGTTGTGTTGTTTCCAGTTTGGACTTGCTTAAGACACGTAGCGCAAATGACTTTATTTTAAAACTTTACAATACGGTAGGAAGGTCCAATTCCTAGAACTACCTAGGTGTTATATTTGTGGGTTATAATAATTTCATTGGTGTATGCAGCATCTTTCTTCCCGAGAACCTGTAATATCTTGTTCTAACAATATCTTCCAGGATTACTAGGCCCTGTTGACAATTCTCTGATCAAAGGGATGAATATTCCCAAATGTCTTTATGCAGAAGCCTGCTTGTATTGGCTCCTTTAAATGTTCAGTGGGTTAAACTGTTAAATTTTCAGTTGGGCACTGACGCCTTGGAAATCAGCAAACACCACAAATCATAGTTCAATTTATCGTTCTGCCGATCGTCTAGACTTATGGGAGTGACGAAGAAAATGTTAATATGGATATTAAACTGAGAAGTGTGTCTTGCCATGCAAACGCTGTTGTCGTCACTGCTGCTTTGGAGAGACAGTTGTTAAATATCTGGCGGCACACCACTGCCTTTGTGCATCAGAGTGGAAGAGACAAGCTTCCTTATTCCCCAAGACATGCGATGTCATTGACCCTCATTCCTGGTAATAATGTCTGGATGCACAACCCACCCAGATCTGCACAAACTCTGAGACTCTCATTCATGTCCTCCCATAAGCTTGACCCCCATGGTCCAACTCAGGCCTTGCTCATGTTCTGTTACATTGAGAGGACACCAGTGGAGCCCCCTCCCCACACCCACCGACTATTGATCACTCATACCTCACTCTTGCCATGTGACCAGACCATTTTTCATTCCTTTGATTACATCATCTCCTTAATTTCATCTCACCTTTACATGAAAGTCAAAATATTCCTGGCACAAGAAAAAAAAAATAATGGGACTAGAGGGGACAAAGGCAGGGGGATAATTTGAAATTTGAATTAAAAGACCTCAAACTGCTTAAGGTCTTCTGGGTGTTTATTTTCCTCTAAGACACAAGGTATTTTATGGAATACTTCAAAAATTGCATTTTGCTGAGTCAATCAATAAACTGAAAGTGTACCAACAGGATGCTTGACTTGGTTTTAAATCAAGAAAATATTGTTGAGGACATATGACGATGTTATCAGGGATCAAGGAAGGAAGTAGTTTATTTCTAATACCAGCTTAGGAGCTGTTTGTCTTTAGTCGACTTTCTGAAACGATACCCTGTTCTTTCAAAAAGATTGTTAGATAACACTCTCCTCTTTGGAAGGTGTCTGTATGCTTGGTGCAAAGATGTATCCAGTAAATTCTCAATTATCTGGGGGACAGATAGCTCCATTACTAGTAATCCATGGCAAAACTCATTTCCACTTCTTATTAACATTTTGACCTACTCTCTTTAGATACCCTGTTGACATAAACAGTATCTCTATTTACTCAAGTCCAGTTGGAGCTGGGAACCGTGGGCTTTTTAAATCAAAACAATTACCGTGCCAGCACAAGGAAGGGGCCAACCACCAGATTCTCTGAGCTAGGTCAGCTTTACTTTCGACCACTGCTTTTCATCGGTCTGAGAAGGGATATGATCTATTTCCCAAATGGACAGGGGAGCAAGGATAGAGATACGGCCAAGACAGAGAGCTTTCTAGCTCCTCTGAAGTCCCTCTCTTTATTTCAGTTTGAAGTAGAACTGATTTTTACCGCCTCAACTAGATAACATAAACCACGTTACATCAGGTTTTGCTATACGCAGTAACGACAAATTAGGTAGTCATGGGCTATGGATTGCCTGGACACTATAATCAAAAAACAAGCACCAAAAAATAACCCCAGAGAATAAATAATGCATGGATTATCTGCAATTTGAGATTATCTATGTTAACCCAACCCATAGCCTTGGGCAGCTGGGTGGCATAGTGGATAGAGCACTGGACTAGTAATTAGGAAGACTCATC